AGCAAACTGACAATGTAGCAAAACGACCTGTATTCTCTATGGATGTAATGCAAGGATTTTTGCCTGGATTACGTTTGGAAACACCGCCAGGCTCCACAAATATTGATCCTTTCGTTTATTTTCTTTGACGTCGGTGTTTACGGCTAGTCATACAGGGTTGAAATTTAAAATTAAATTAAATCGATTGAAAATAAAACGTGCATACAATTTTACTCGTCTGAAAAAAATTGCATGACTTGAAAAATAAAACATGCATTCTGAAACATGCACAGTATATTGCAAGACAAGGACATATTAAATTTTATTCACAATCCGGCGCCGTTGCAGGCAGTCGTGTGTTCCAAAGCAGGAACGCTACCGAACGCGTTAAATGATTTCGCAGCAAGAACAAATTAACATTCATTACCTGATTCAACCTTCCTTACCTGACTACATTGAATAAAGATTGTACATTGCATACATGATAAACATCAGATGTACACTACTCTTGTGATTCTATGGGACAACACTTGTAAGTTTTACCACAGGTTTTACCTTGGTTTTACACACTCTTATCATTTTCTAGTTTTGCATCACAAGCTCGCACAGTCTAAAAGATCTATTTTAGAGGCGAAGCATCAGTCGCGTACTCTCCAAGCAGAGGTTGGTGGGGAAGATCGTCACCGTTTTATATATGCCTCGTTTTTTTTTTTGTCGCCCCCCACCCAACCTCTGCCCCGAGTCGCAACCTGAAAGGCTATTAACAGCTATTTGTTACCCTATCAAACCTCACTTAACAAGTAGTGGCGACTTTACTTGGCGCGTAGGTGTGAATTACGCCCTCCCGGCCAGGGAAACCAAAATTCCAACTTCCGGCTGGCGACACGGCCTGGCGATTTTCCGTTACTCGCCTGTTTCCGTTCAACTCAGTTTGAATGTCTAACGGACGGGACCGACATGGACAGAGTCAAGCTTGTTTTCAAAGACGTCTGGGGGTTTGAGGTCCGTCCCGACCAGCTGAAAGCCGTTTTGGCGGCCTTAGAGGGCAAGGATGTTTTCGTTGGGATGGCGACAGGGAAGGGGAAGTCCCTCTGTTTTCAGAGCATCCACTATCCTAGCTTCCAACGCCATGGGTGCCTCGTTCATTCACCATACAGGACGGGCTCACAAAATTCACATGGCAAATCAGAAACTTTCCGGAATAAGAAAAATATTCGCGGGAGTTTGTCCTGGTAAACAAGTATGGCGCGAACAGAAAGATAGAATGCACCGCATCCAAACATAAAGGTAAGAAAGAAATAATGACCAGAAACACTTAAAATCTATGAATATACGTAACGGTAAAATAGAATATTTTAATATACTTTGAAGAACAAATTCATATTTTATTGTGTTGATTTTGAACCTCTATATAATAGTTATAAACGTAAACATGTTTACTCTGCTACGTTGTGATGCTGTTCGGTCAGATGGTGACATGCTAATGAGATATGCGTGGTTGACTGGATTCGTCCCGCAGCGAGCTGGACACCCTTGTAAAACTATTTCCGCTCCCAGCTCACAGATTGCGGAAAATAGGGGCACGGGGAGGGACTTCAACACATTTCTCAAAGAAGTACTCCTCCCCTTGTCCTTTCAGGTTGCGACTCGGGGCATAGGTTGGGTGGGGGGCGACAAAAAAAAACGAGGCATATATAAAACGGTGACGATCTTCCCCACCAACCTCTGCTTGGAGAGGGGCGACAAAAAAAACGAGGCATATATAAAACGGTGACGATCTTCCCCACCAACCTCTGCTTGGAGAGTATAAGAGAGCCACTACGACTCACGAGTCGGCTTGCTGACTTGGTCTTTTAAATAAGTCTTTAATAAAAGTTGTTGAAATGGTGATGCAGCAAGGAATTGTTATCAATTTCTCTAGGGTGAACCAAGATGTCTGGCCTTCGGATACTCGACAGACGGCGGAGAGCCATTCAGCCATCTGCGGATCCCGCATAGTATATGGCCGCAAACGATGAAGATTTTCAACCTTCCACCCGACATCCGGGACAAGACTGGGTTCTACTTTCTCGTAGGCTTGATTCCAGGTGATTTTTTCTGTTAATTTTTATTTACCATTCATTCATTTACCGTTAGGTTATGGCATGATTTGTACAACGATTATGAGGCAAAGAGGTATGGCTGAAGGACAATTGAAAGAGTTTTGTGTCTTTAGAAATATTTAAATTTTTTAGAGTCACATAGTAGCGTGTATGTGTGGTATGTGCTTTGTCTTGTATGGCTTCCACCGTCACTCGAAATGACATTTAATTTGCCAGGCTTGCACTATAGGGCGTATTCAGTCACGTGACCCATGCCGTAGCAACTGGTCGGTCGCCCTAGCAACGAGCAGGCTGCCGCCATCTTGTGGTACCAAATGCTGCCGCTCCATAACGGAGCCGTATGCAGCTCTCCGTAAACTTGGCAAATATTTTCTAAGCAACCCACTATCTTCCTTCAAACCCTTTTGCTTCATAATCAATGTGTTTTGCCTCGTGGCCGGATGTGGTCTGGGGCCGGTAAAGCGCACATAGATCGGATAATTTTATGATTTGCTAGTTGTAAAACTCGTCTTGTAGTATGAGTGGCGGCGTACGAAGGAACTAGTGAGCCCGCACGAAAACAAGTCAAACAAACAGATCAACCATGAAAACGATTTATCAGACAGGTGTAACGTTAGTTCTGTGACGGATTTCTATGAAACAAGACACTAACAACTACAGTATCTGTGTCCGACAGAAACCTTAACCGGCCGTACAGCCGCGGCACTCAAATCGACATGGTCGCTCCACACAGAGCTTCCCGATCACATCGTTCTTGTCAGCTAAATCTTCCTACTTATCCAGAAACTAAAATCGCTGTAGGCCTCGAGACACTGTAAGCCTTGAACTAATCTGTGTGTAAGAGTCGTTTCCATAACCAAATACACGTCAAAAGACAAAATCAATGGACTTTGTTGGCAAAACGTTGCCGACTTGGGGATGGTACCACAACATGGCGGCGCACGGGGAACAGGGGTGATGACGTCACGTGAATACGTATAGTCTATATAAGAACCCAATAAATTCGGCTAACGTTGACCCCAGTTTGTCCCTGACTACCGTTGTGGTAACATGGGCAGAGGGCTCTTGAAGACACTTTGTGTTTGTAACATATTGACAGCAGATAAGGAATTTATGTACATGTACAGTCTGTTGTACATAAAGAAGATTGCCTCACCTAACCCAGAATATAAAGTAATTACACCACTGTACTGTCTTGCCAAGGTTTGGTAGTGTTAACGTTATAGATTGCCTGGCAGTTACTTGAACAGTTCTAACAGAGCTCCAGTCTACATGTATACTAGTACTGCTTTCTCATACTACCAAATTGACACCACAATTGTAACCCATTTTTATAGACTCACTTACTATCCAAGCTAATTCAGTTGTGAGGTTGACATTTTGGATATCTACAATTAGACACTGCCCTTTCTATTTCACTGCAGGTCCAACAGCACCACATGAAATGAACCCTTTCCACCAGATGATGGTGGATGAGGTGCTACAGATGTTGACTGGGGTGGAAGTCTGGGACGCCTGGAAGAATGAGTATGTCACCATCACGGCAGATATGGTGGCCTTCGTCTTTGACTGGCCAGGGAGATGCAAGTGTACATACCACCAGGGCGCAAGAGCACCAGCAGCATGCTGTTACTGCCAACTGAAAGGTAAGTGTTTTTACTTTGCCTGCAAACACATTTTCCCTTGTATTACAAAACTGTGACTGTGTTATAGTTACTAAAACAGGGGTGCCAGAGTATACAGTGCAATTTTACGGAATACAGTGCAAGTTTACTAGTACTTGTACTTGTACTTGTTGAGGTCTCCTCGAGTCAAAGTTTACTAGTATACAGTGCAATTTTACGGAATACAGTGCAATCGTATTAGTATACAGTGCAATTTTACGGAATACAGTGCAATCTTATTAGTATACAGTGCAATTTTACGGAATACAGTGCAATCTTATTAGTATACAGTGCAATTTTACGGAATACAGTGCAATTTTACTAATGACGTTGAATCACGTGACTTGAACCCTTTCTCTTCAGCTTCAAGATGGCGGACGCCGCTAGACTCACATATTTCTGTCTTTTTCGAGCGAATTCGAAATGATCCCTGTGCAGTAACATGCCCTGTGTGTAGTATGTAGTGATTTGACTAAAGGTCTATCTACGAGAACGGTCAAAGATCGCTTGACAAACACAGAAATGCGTGAGTACGCTCCGTCAGCGGCGTCCCGGAAAACCGGGTCTATTAGTCACGTGATTCAACGTCATTAGTAAAATTGCACTGTATTCCGTAAAATTGCACTGTATACTAATGCGATTGCACTGTATTTCGTAAAATTGCACTGTATACTAATGCGATTGCACTGTATTCCGTAAAATTGCACTGTATTCCGTAAAATTGCACTGTATACTCTGGCACCCCTGTAAAACTTATATTACTTTATATTGACAAGTGCAATGCTCTGCTTTTCCACCCAGCAATCTACAACAACACCCATCGAATGACAACCTTTGGAGGAAGCAGGCAATTCTTGCCCATGGACCACCCCCTTCGACTCGACACCGACCACTTCCCCGAAAAGGAGGCAGAACATAGAGGACCACCTCCTCCTCAGGAAGATCAGACAGCCTACGGGGCAGCGGTAGAGGATCTAACTAAAAAGATTAATGAAATGAAGGCTCAGGGAACCACTGCGGGTATTCGGTACGTGCTGCAAAAATTTATCTGTCTTTGAAAATCCCAAATGGCTTATCGATTTTTCTAAATCTAAATTGGTCCTAATTTTAAAACCATTTTGATAATAGAATCCGCTGTTGGTTTGTTGATTTTGTTTGTAATTTATAATGTTTAATCAAAATCTTCTTTTGCCTTCAACATAGGGCCCTGCAGGCATCAAGGAAAACAATGATTGAAACCACGGGGAAGACAGGGAGAGAGGTCTTTGCTGATCTTCCTACCTACAGCATCGACCGCGTACACATTGACTGGATGCACACAGCTAAAGTAAGTTCAAGTTCATTCATGATTTACTGTGTCACATGGCATTGATGGGTGTTGTTCCCCCTTGCATGTCTCAAGTACATGTATATGTCAAATAAAACACTAGGACACAGGTATATACAGAACCTATTCTTCAATTGTTATTAAGACAAGGCACACAGCTTGTACAACATGGCAGCTTATATGATGCATGTCAACCATTGTCGTCTGATGAGATCAAAAGAACAAGATGACCATATTCATCACTCTGATCATTGAAATAAATTGCCTTCACTTGTATGACATACAGACCTATCCAAGAATAACAAGTAAACTAATGTACACCTGATAGTGTTCTTTTCCTGTGATTTGCATGCAGGTGAAGCTTTGCACACTTTGCAATACGTTGTTAAGTATTGCAAAGTGTGCAAAGCTTCACCTTCATGCAAATCACAGGAAAAGAACACTATCAGGTGTACATTAGTTTCATGTTGAAGTATGCACAATTTCTCTCATGTTTGCACTACAGTCATGCCAACATTATCGTAATGATTTTAACATTTAAATGATTTATTTACAGAATATCATCCATAACATCTTTGAAGTGCTAACGGGCCACAAACACAACTTCAATGAAGTGGTCAAGATGGAGAAATGGAGATTTCCCTGCAGGTGGAAACAACATCTTATTGTACATTTCATACAAGTGTATATAGAATACACCTTGTTTCATTTTAGTTACATCATACGCACCGTAGAAAACACACAGGTCTGTGTGAAATGTACCATAAACTCAGAAAATTTGGTAAATATAAACGAGACGTAATGTGTTTATGAAAATGATCAGTTTTATGCATTATTTTGATTGGAAAATCCTTTCCCCTAAAATTTTTTGGTCCCATGCACATATTTTGTTTCTGAATTACATGTATGTTCTGTAAGAGACTTGATCGAGGGTGTGGAGAATTGAATTGAGGCTCAAAATAAACTGGAGTGTGCTCCTTTATGACTAACATTAACACATGTACATGTACCCGTTTATTCTTTTGATACTTTATTGATCAATATTTAGGTGTATTGACAGCATTAATTTGTTTTGTTATATTAGATCGGACACTGTAACAGGGAATGCCAATAAAAGAGCAAGAGAGGAAGTACAGGTGTACCAGCTGAATCGGCAGGAGATGGCCATAGCAGATGAACGACTGCAATCGATCATCGTTCCTGTTGGCTATGACTTTAAAGTGAGACCCCTGTTCAGCAAACCCCTGGGAATGAAGACCATTGAGTGGATACTGGTAAGTTGTTTAATCTACACTACCATTGAGCACAACATCTAAATTTGCTATGTGCTTTTTTCCGCTTGGTATATATATGTACATGTATCCTCTAGTATCAGGCATTCTTTATTATTTTACAATATTCAGTGCAATCGGCACAGGGTGCCCCCCCCCAAAAGTATGTTGAGGGGCATCCCCCCCAACCCGGGGGCATCTCCCCCAACCCGTAGTGTATTTTCTCTAGATTGTAATGAACAGCCATCAAACAGTTCGATTTCTACCTGTTATACCACTTGTAAAATGTATTTTCCGTGCCCTGTGCTGCCATTTGTAATCTTAAGTCACACGGGAGCCATTAAAAATATTACCGCAAGTTGTAAGCTCTGATTGGTTCACCTCAGATAACATGCACTCTGATTGATTTATCAGCTGTGCATTATAATGCAGGAAATGGCGTTTGAGGGGGTTATAATTTCAAATTTTCCTGGGGGGGGGGAGCATGCCACAGGACCCACCTAGGTTGGTTGCACCGGCGCTCACTAGGGGGGAAATCTCCCCACACACACAAAATTTCCTGCCATCACCTCTGATATTTGGTCAAAAATGTAATGATGGTGCTCGTGTGTTAAATTGAGTTTGGAACTTCCCTTATGTCTGTTTGTTTTGTACCAGTTTGCCATAGATGGCATCCTTGAGTATGCGGTGAGAGGGATGCTCCCTGCAGAGCAGAGAACAACAATCTTTCGACTGTGTGCAACCCTAAAAGCACTGGGATCGCCTGTAGCAGACATGGCAACAATTGCAGATCTGGAGAAGGATGTGCATGAGACCTTTAGTCTCGTTGAAAGAAACTTGCCCCTCGCCATAAAGGTATGATAATTGTTAAAAATGCATGTTAACTTTAAGAGCTGTTTGTTTATTTTATTTTATTTCATTCACTTGGATTTTTGAGCAGTAGATAGGAAGCACTTGTTGTGCGTATGTGAATCCACTGCTCATAAAACATAATACAAATGTAAACATAGAGATGATAAGAGCTGTTTGCTGTGACATACAGTACAGGCCACAAAATACTCATGAAGTTTCGCGTGAAGTACTTATGCGAGACACAAAGCAAAGTTTAAATGTTTTTGTATAGAGAGGCTAGAAAATGTAATTTGATATCGATGTGATTGTAAGGAGTAAAAGTACACGCCTGTGGATGCGGGAGAAATGGTTGAGGCCAGTACGTCCACAGTTGTCCTTGCCAAGATACAAGCTGGAAGTAGTCTATATCTGTCTTTCCTCTCTTCATCACCCGGTTATCCTTATACAAATGTAGTTATAGTACCACTGTCACTGTAAGTCAACCACTATCTAAAGGTATCATATGTTGACTTTCTTTTAATCACGAGTTTGTCATCTTTTTTTAACAGACCTTGATGGTGCACTTGCCCCACCACATGGCCCCCATCATCAAACAGTATGGACCACTGACCAGCCTTTGGATGATGCCATACGAAAGATATATGCAGTTCGTACTAAGGCGTATGACCAACAAAAGTCATCCAACGAAATCAGCAAGGGAAGCATACAAGGTAAATAGTCCAGACTTAATTTGTGTAATTATTGTGGTATGCAAGAACCTATCAATTAAATTCAAATATAGTTGTTTGTCATTCTTGATCTCATATTACTTTTTGAACCAAGATTTTTTTGAGTGGTCAAATAGTCCTATGCTTTGTGTTCTTTATTTATATTTTGTCATTTTTGATTGGGTCAGGACATAAAGGATTATTGTACCAATGATTTAGTTTGAGCCAGACAGAAAGGAACTACAACTATTGACATTGTTTTACAGGTCCACAGTCTCTGCAACATCCTTCAGCTTGCGGGGAAGATGCCCACCACTGGACCTGACCCCCTAGAGGATACCAGCGAGCTCCCTTGTGAGAAGAATGAAGAGGACGAGGACGACGACAAGGAAGAAGGGGTTGAGGTAGAAGACGTGGAGGAGAATGAAGTAGGAGTAGATGTGGCCAGTGCTAAGCTGGGACACCTGAAGGGGACCATACCCCCTTCAGAGGAGTTTGTGCTGGTAGAGACAGATGAGCTGTACTTAAGCAGTCATCTGTCAGAAGTAAACGCAACTTCCACAAATGCTAGAAAAGTAGTTAAGTACCTAGCAGCTTCCTCGCGCCATCCCATTACAAACCGTCTGTTAGAGTATAGGTGCGAGGAGCTGGAGACGAGAAGAAAGGCGAGGAGAATTTCCTCTATTGTAGGCATAAAGCTAGGAGATGTGCGTTACTTTGGACGAATCCAGTACTTCCTCCTAGTTAATGACATGTACGAAATGGCGTACATCAGGTGGTATGGAACAGGGGAGAAGGATGGAGAAACAGGGTTGTGGATGGTTGAAATGGGTTCGGTGGATTGGATCAACCCATTCCAGCACTTCCACAAAATCAGCAAGCCCCTGGTTCATGCCCTCGAGGGGAGAACCCTGTTCATCCTTGACCTACATTCATATGACCTGGCATGAGGAAACCATCGTATATCCAGTATTGTACAAAATTGTATGTCCCCCGCGTTCCAGGCTTGGCGGTATATAAAAGACAGTCTGGTTGGGAAGAGGCCTGACATCCCCTTCCCATAAAAACGCCCTGTATGTCTCCGCGTTCCAGGCTTGGCGGTATAAAAATGACAGTCTGGTTAGGAAGGGGTCTGACACCCCCCTCCTGTAAAAACGCCCTGTATGTCCCCCGCGTTCCAGGCTTGGCGGTATAAAAATGACAGTCTGGTTAGGAAGGGGTCTGACACCCCCCTCCTGTAAAAACGCCCTGTATGTCCCCCGCGTTCCATGGCTTTTCTTCTTTGTACTTCACTCTTCTTGTACTGCATTTAAAGTTTATGCTTTGATATGCTGACCAGTTGTTAGAAGGGTCGAAACCTCCTTAATGTGTAGAATTTGTGTTTTCTGATGATGTTGTAAATGATATTTTAGTGGCAAAAGTAAGGACTGTTGCAATTATTCATCATGTTTGTAGATAATATGTTGTTACTTGCACATGGTTATACAGTGCAACAGTATAGAATGATATGCCTATTGTATTAATTTGTACATTGTAACTGTATAGATTGATATGCCTGTTGTTACAGTTGGATATACATGTACAGTGTAACTGTATAGATTGATATGCCTGTTGTTATTTGCACATGGATATACATGTACAGTGTAACTGTATAGATTGATATGCCCGTTGTTATTTGCACATGGATATACAATGTGTATAGAATGATATGCCTGTTTTATGTCGATTACTTTAATGTATAAAAAAAGAAATTCAAGAAACAAGAAAAATGCCAAATTATGTGAACTGTAGTATTGGTATTTCATTCCGAGCATAGATATAATACAACTCTTTCAAAACAATCGTATAATGTCCTTGAAAATGTCCTTAAATTATCATGCATGCCAGTCATCACTTGCAAAATGGGAAATTGCCATGAATACTACAGTCTGGAGCATTGTAACGTTGCACGCAATACACATCCTGCTTCCCTTCCCAGACAGTACTGTCCAACAGCCCTTCACACCCCTGCAGGGTGCCAGGTAACATCTCACCTGGGCCAGCGGCACCCCTCTCGGGAAGTTTTCACACTAGGTGGAGGGAGGGCGATTAGCGAACAATGGGCAAAATCTGGGAAACTTGAGGTCAAAGGTGGTTGCTATGTGTTGCTAGGGGAGCCAACACCCACTTCGCTGGGGGTATTCAAATTGACTTAACCACACAGAGTTTTTGCAACCTGGTATAGCGGTATCCTGTAAGATACCCATGGAAAACAGAAGAAAATATTACATTTGATATGATTTATGTAATAATCATCAAGAAATGCAATTTTCTTCCGTTTCCCATGGGTGCTTTTTGGTGCATTTGGGGTTTTCTGATGCACAAGATGTATAATATCACCAATCAACAGAGTTTGTAGAAAAGCACTTTAGTTTGGTGAAGTTTGAGCACCATTTTTGAAGCTGGTGCCTGTCCAGGGGTTTACGGATGTGGTCTCTAATAAACTTTCAATGACTTCAGGCTGGATATTATCGACAGTAATGATACGGGCCTGTAGTTGGAGAGATCTTTTTTGTTTCCCTTTGTACAGCTCTCTAATGCTGTCCCGAAGACAACCCTCATAGACAACTGTGTCGCGATGTATGTAAACATTTCTTGCTGCTACAGCACATCGTACTCGTTATATCCTGTAGTCAAATGATATAAACAGTGCCTCCCAATACACGTATACATGCTGAGAACAGAGAAGGGAAAATGTTGAGAATCGTTTTCGGCATTTTCTCTAAAATATCAACATTAATCGTCGTCTTGAATTAAAGCGACATGATATGAAATTACATGAGAATTGTGTTGACTCGTATACTGTACATGTCTTCATGTCTCTCCTGCCCCTTGCGTCGTCTCGCACAAGTTTCGCGTGACTTTTCAACACGAGTTGTTTAGGTCCATTCAACTTCAGATGGCTAAAGGTTACTAGTATTTGAAACCTAAGAACCGGTACCCTCTGTAGTTTGTCAGGTCTAACAGGTGGTAGACCTGTGCCGTGCTATATTGCCGGCTTTAATTTGGGGCGAGGTTTCATAGGCCCGAAAGAATCCAATGATGGTATTTCCCATAGAAAACAACGGTACAAACATAGAAACACAAACTATACATACAACATCTTATATACATTTTGAAAAAAAAAAGAATTTCTGTACTGACAATCTGACCTCAGAAGACATTGTATTATGGTGTTGTTGGCCATGTCTGCTACGTTTTTCTGAAAACGTAAGGTGACCGGCCGAGGGAGTACGTCACTCGCACGGTTGCGCAAGGTGTAAGTACGTGGTCTGCACGCCACAATTGGCCGTGAGCGGCTGCGTGTATCGTTCGTTGCGCAAGTGGTGAGTGCTTACAACCTCCGATCTCTATACGATTGATACGTTACCGCGTAAAGGCCGTACCTACACGTGCGGCGTACGTACGGTTTCCTTACTCGCACGTTACAAGTGCGCTCAGGTGCGATGAACCATCTGATTCTTCCCTCCTGCCACCTTCCTCACTAGCCACCCTGTCGTCTTCCCGTTTCTTTGGGTCTTGTCTGGTTATAGTTGCAGGTGTCTTCTTCTGTGCCTTCTTGCGCATCTTCGAGACGGGTTGGCAGTCGTCCGTCAGTTGTCCGTGCGGAGCACCTAGTACGGTGCACGCGTGTTCTGCCTAGTCATTGAGCAGGTGAACTTGGCAGTGTGGAGTAAACACGGAACACGCAACCAATATGCGCGGCACGCACGTGCTACGTGCGCTGTCCGTACAGCAATTTAACGTGAGAACATTTCACGGAGTAAGTGCGCTGTACGCTCATAGTCTGTACGGGGCACGCGCGTCGCCGGTACTCGCACGGTTTCAAAATTCAAACACAAATGTCAAACATGGCCGATGTACAATCAAATCACAGATTCAGTGTAATTTAAGATGACTAAAAGTTATTTCACTGTAGTATGAAAACAGTGTCAGTTGTGCTATAACAGGTGGTCCATTTGGTGCCGTGCTATAATATCGATATCCCCAGCATAAAGCTGAGCGGCCGGTGGATTCATAGGTCTGAAAGCGTCCGAGAACGTTAAAGTAAATACAATTCACTAATGGCGCGGAGTGTTATTCTTCAGTTGTACGACCGGCGCCAGACGTTTGAAAATGAGGATATAAAGCGAAAACTATTTTCAACATGTCCTTCTTCAAGTGAACTTACCCTACTAGGCATGTCACACTACTTTTCTGTGGAATTGGAGATTGTTTGGGAAATAAGTTTCTCCTCCGATGAGCAGGAGAAAACATGGGAAAGTGTATCTCTTAATTCAGCAGCAAACATTTTTACCATTCTTGGAAATATTCCTGCTATTCTTGGCATTGAGGTGTTTCAGAATTTCGTAAACCTCCATTGCATGCATACTAGGTGGTGTAGAAGGAAAATAGGGTACAGTAGTTCTATAGATTAGGCACGGAAGTTGATGAACAATTTCTGAGAAGTGACAATCAATCGCAGAGGTACTGGGGGTACTGGAAGACTAGCAGTAATACATCTAGGAGTTCTTACTTATACTGTGAATCTTAAGGCTACAAACATAACCCTAGCGCTAACCGTAACCCTAGGCCTGCGGCACTGCCCTAACCCTAGGTGTATGCGAGTAGGCTCTCCAAGAGAAAAATGTTCAGAACCGGTATAGGGCTGTTTCCACACTTTCGAACGTTTCTTTTCGTTTTCACGGAAAGAAAAGACTTGTCATCACTTGTGAAATGTGTTTGCATAAGTGATTTCATGACTTTTAAGACGAAATCAACCTAACCGTAACCCTAGGTCTGCGGTATACGTACTGCCCTAACCCTAGGTGTATGCGAGTAGGCTCTCCAAGATGAAATTGTTCAGAACCGGTATAGGGCTGTTTCCACACTTTCGAACGTTTCTTATCATTTTCACGGAAAGAAAAGACTTGTCATCACTTGTGAAATGTGTTTGCATAAGTGATTTCATGACTTTTAAGATAAAATCAACCTAACCGTAACCCTAGGTCTGCGGTACTGCCCTAACCCTAGGTGTATGCGAGTAGGCTCTCCAAGATGAAATTGTTCAGAACCGGTATAGGGCTGTTTCCACACTTTCGAACGTTTCTTATCATTTTCACGGAAAGAAAAGACTTGTCATCACTTGTGAAATGTGTTTGCATAAGTGATTTCATGACGTTTAAGACACTTTTGAACTTACGAAATCAACCTAACCGTAACCCTAGGTCTGCGGTACTGCCCTAACCCTAGGTGTATGCGAGTAGGCTCTCCAAGAGAAAAATGTTCAGAACCGGTATAGGGCTGTTTCCACACTGCAGGTAGGTCCAAGCCTGCAACCGTGTATCAGGTGCTGGATGGTCTGGGGATCCTGTCCACAGCTGCAAGTTGTACTGGTGGTCTTGCCCCACCGTGCCAGGTTGTCCCCAGTCCTGGCCACCTTTGCCCTTGCCCGGTTCAGGGCGACCCAGTCCCTTCTGTACATGTCGGTCCCTGGGGGCAGTGTTTCGCTTGGGGGAGGGAGTGCCCTGCTGTTACTTGGGTGACTCTCCTTCCACAGCTCTATCCTGAGGGTCGCTGGTGCCATTCACCCGAGGCCTTGGGCCGTCATGAAGCTGCGGCGAGACTTCAGACGTCGGCCGTATAGCCCTTACCTGGGTTTATGCGAGTAGGCATAGACTAGAATTTTTCAAAATTTCGATATTGGCGGATTAGCCCAACATGAGTATCATTGAATTTGCCGGTCACAGAAATGTGCAATTTTGATGGAAAAAAGTTTTGGGGACACCCAGGACAAAACATTTCGGGTTTTGTGATAAAATGTGTTCATTTTACAGCAGTTTCTATGTATCTAGCTAGGATATCTACATTTTTAACCGTAGCATATGTACATTTTTTACATTAACAAAACGAATGATGTTTTACGTGATTATCAGACAATTCCATTGCAATATTTGCCCTAATTCTTAAAACATATCTTCGCATGCTACACTTTTGATGCTTATCGCTAGAGGGCTTTCTAATGATTTTTTTTCCAATTAACGTTAAAAATCAATAAAACGGTGTACACAATGGGTCAACGTCTTATACCAAAGTTGTATAGTATTGTAGGCTACCCTTGTTCAAAATTGAGTGTACGTGTATTGATTTTAACAGCATCTATGTCGCTCTAAGGTGTTACAAGTATCAACGATAGGCCTAAATCTGCGCCTGTCCATAGTTTAAGACAGGTGCATGCCCTGTATCTTCACAGGGGATGGAAGACGAGTAGATGACAAGTCTTTTCTTTCCGTGAAAACGAAAAGAAACGTTCGAAAGTGTGGAAACAGCCCTATACCGGTTCTGAACATTTTTTTCTTGGAGAGCCTACTCGCATACACCTAGGGTTAGGGCAGTACCGCAGACCTAGGGTTACGGTTAGGTTGATTTCGTAAGTTCAAAAGTGTCTTAAACGTCATGAAATCACTTATGCAAACACATTTCACAAGTGATGACAAGTCTTTTCTTTCCGTGAAAATGATAAGAAACGTTCGAAAGTGTGGAAACAGCCCTATACCGGTTCTGAACATTTTTTTCTTGGAGAGCCTACTCGCATACACCTAGGGTTAGGGCAGTGCCGCAGGCCTAGGGTTACGGTTAGCGCTAGGTTAACGCCAATTGTGGCGTGCAGACCACGTACTTACACCTTGCGCAACCGTGCGAGTGACGTACTCCCTCGGCCGGTCACCTTACGTTTTCAGAAAAACGTAGCAGACGTGGCCAACAACACCATAATACAATGTCTTCTGAGGTCAGATTGTCAGTACAGAAATTCTTTTTTTTTTCAAAATGTATATAAGATGTTGTATGTATAGTTTGTGTTTCTATGTTTGTACCGTTGTTTTCTATGGG